CCAATGCAATTCTAAAACTGACATTGTTGGGTTCATTTGATTGTTTTGATTAATTGCGTCAAAAGATCACAAGATTTTGTTGGGCAGAAAATCAACCCAATTTCGTGTACAATAATTTTCAAAGAAAAATCATCAACTCCTTCATATCTTTCGTATTGCATAATACCCAAAAGTCGGAATATTTTGCCGAACAGAAAATCACCCATTCCTCACGTATAATTTTTTTTAAGGACAAAACACAAGCACTACAGGAGAAACCGTTCTCAGGAAGTTTATTCCACATAAACACAGCTTTCCAGATAAAAGTGTTTTTAAACAGTGAAATTCGAGATGTACTGAGTTGAACCTCAAAACGATGTGCAGTCACAGTCCGTCGCGTATTTCTGATATGTACCGCTCTTGGTGGAATCAAATGTGCCAAGTAAGTGACTTGGTAATATGCCAAGTCACTTGAACACCTCCCGTGAAAGTATCTATAGAAGAGAGACAAATCTCCAACCTTTCTTCTATATTTCAGGCTATCAAGGTTACACGTGATCTTCACGTCTCCAATAAGGCGGATGGCTTTTTTCTGGATGGAATCCAGCAACTTCAGTGCTGAATTCCAGTTCTGGATGTTTGGGGGCAGAGCTCCATACATGAGAACAATACTCCAAAGAAGGTCTGAACTGACCTTTATAAAGCATCAAAAGTTGCTGAGGTATATACAGTTTTTTGTTTCGGAACAGTGTTCCAAGCTTTTGAAAAACAGCTTTTGAAATTCCAGCGACATGATTATGCCAAGACATGTTGGTGTCCATTTTAACCCCCAACAAACTTATCGAAGCAGAAAGCGAAATTGTCTAACCTGAAATTATTATATCCGGTTCGGAGACATTTATCTTCTTGGAGAAAACAGATGCCTGGGTGTTTGTGGCATTGAATTGAATCTGGTTACTTTCTCTCATATTCGAATTCACATCTAGATCCTCATTAAGATATGCAACCTCCTGCAGCACAAGGGTGCTGTCGTCAGCAAAGCAATATATTGCATTCTTGGTTTTTTCCAATGAGTCGTTGATATACAATAAAAAGAGGGTTGGAGACAATATGGATCCCTGGGGAACACCAGTGTTTATGGTGAAAGTATTCGAGAGAAATTCATCGACGGCCACTTGCAGAAAACGTTCTTTCAGGAAGCTGAAGAGACATACACAGAAACGATCCGACAAGCCATAGCATCGAAGTTTGGCCAGTAAAGCCTCATATGCCACATACGGCCGAAAGCCTTAGAAATAGCCCAAGAGCTCTTGATTATCGATTATGTTATTCCAAATATGGGTGACATACGACAGAAGGTGGCCTGTTGTTCTTTGTTTCCGAAAGCCATATTGATGATCGTTCAAGATTTTGAAATCTTTCGAATATTTGAGGATATGATGTTTTGCGACTTTCTCCATGATTTTTGATATCACTGATGGCAAAGCGACTGGTCAATAGTATATAGTCTGAACGCAAGCAACCTTCCAACAAGAAGGAAAGAAATAATGATTTTCGAAGAAAAATCTATAACATTTCAAACCCTTTCATAAATCGAGATTTTTTTTCTATGAATATATTCGTTTTATTGTTATGAACAAAACTCATATCTCGTATCTCGAAATATTTTGTTAGGCAGATAATGGTTTTTTTGAAAATTATTATGCACGAGGTGGGGGTTGATTTTTTGCACGACAAAATATTTTGATAAGGGTTTTGTACAGAATAAAATGAATACGATTATTAAAAAAATCAAGATCCGCGAAATATTTGAAAGAATTATGAAAAATTATCATGCACGGGTGGGGGTTAATGACGTCATCAAGGTGACCATTTACTGAGATATTGTTCGCTTCTCAAATCTTTGAATTTTCCTAAAAGTCATTCAAATTTGTGTTGTGATAAATTGTAGCATTTGATGTGGTGAAAAACGTGATTTCCTTCAAAATTAGTTCACCTTTCACAATTTAAATTCGCCACCAAACACAGTACCTATTCACCCTGACTGCATCTTCATTCTTCAAAACATTTTGTATTCTCTTTTTGAACAAGGCCCTACTATTCTCTGAGAATATACCAGGATCTTAGTGTTTCAGATTAGTGATGATGCCGGTTCTGAACCTTGACCCAAGAGCTGAGGCGGAATGAACCCTATAATTTACAGTCTATTTTGTGCCTTTTAGCCCTCTTTTTATCTTTTTTTCTGCTTTTAGTTGATTCGTCAGGCTTCGCACATGTTTCAACGTTAATACAATATGTTTTCCGAGCAACAAAATATTTCGAGATAAGCATATTGTTCAGTACACTAAAATAAATAAATTCATAGAACGAAAACTGGATACACGATAGATCTTAATGGAATTGCGAATTTTTCTCTGAAAATCACTGTACACGAGATGTGTACAAAATGTCCAACAAAATATTCCAACATGTATGTCTCATTCGGTAAGTTGAAATCATTAGAAATTGATTCTGTTAAAAAATCTGTTTTTCCGTTAAGCATATGTCGCCCCCCTACGAACGACAACTCTCAAAAGTCGAAACTTGTGCGAGCTAAGAACTAGAGGTCTTACCATTTAACGTGTGATTCCTAACACGGGTTGAATGGGTACTTCACAATTTACACAACACTAACATTTAACGCTAACAGCTGTTTCGACATACTGTGTCAACTCCTGAGCGACTTATAAACTAACCTAGGTGTGTGATATCATCTCCTTAAATACTAAGACTTGCATTGGTAGGTAGAAAGAGGTATCAAAGGACATTTGGGAAATTACTACTAACGTATTGATAATGGGAGCTTGTAGAACCCAGATTTTTTTAATTTGTACTGTGCTGACTTTGAATTATTTATAAATGAATGCAAATTGTTATCTATCTTGAATACCAAATATGGCGGCTTGTAAATATGTTCTTGATAGTAGTTCCAATAAAAATAACAATTTCATGTTCACCTGTTGTAAAAAAAACACTGAATCAACCACAGTTGTGCTGAAAGAATACATGGAAATAGACTACTACAAGGACACAAAATAATATGCAAGGATTGTGCATCTGAATCATACCATGATAAAGACAGTGATAGTGATACATTCCTCAAGAACTGCATAGAAAAACTGAAACACGCGATTATACTTAAAAACAATACTATAGAAAAAATGAAAATAGAGCACAACAAATTCTATGAAGATGCCATTGAAATGGAAAGGGATTTAACAAATAAAATTCTACAACAAAAACAAACTACTGAAATCCTTGAATCAAAGATAAAAACACTAACGAATAGCAAACATGCTGATAAGACAGAGGAGCTAGTTTTTGCAAGTACGCAAACTGATAAAATAATGGACCAGCAAAAAAAAATTGAAATAAAAATGACTCATGATAGATTCTCACAAACTGAGAGCAGTCTGGAAAACCACTTTACATTGTTGCCAAGTATAAACTTATCAATGAGAAATGAAAAATTATTGCAATCTACAACTGATGGAAGTATTTGTAATAAATATGGAAAGAGAAAAGAAAAACACACCATGAAACATAAGCCTAAAAAAACAACACCATGAAAGCAAAAGAAAAGAAATCTGTGACAACAGAGTGGAAAGTAGAGAAAATGAAAATAGAATCCGAGAATAAAAAAAAGGAAATTTTTGAAGATACAGACACAAGATTACCTAATGAAGAAAAGAGAAATAATGTATCACTTATGGACGAAATCCAACAGGTTGATATGTCCAAAGACAGGAATGCCTCAATCTCAAATGAATATGCACAAGAAATACCGGAAAACAGTAATAGGGATTTGAAGATTGAGAAATCAGAAGTCAACTCCGCAGTGACGCAACTTCCACACAGGAAGAAGAAAATACTAATTACTGGAGATCAATATGCTCAATGATTCCAAAGAGTTCTTAGCTTAACAACCGACCGCCTTTCCTATAGGATTGATGAATGGATTTGCTCTGGTAATGAACTGTCGGAAATAACCAAGGATATATTTGCCAAAGTTATAAATTACGGTCAGGATAATTATGTTATCATCATGTTCAACACGAATAACATCAGTAATAAGTAAAACACTAAATCTTGCCATTAAGAATGTTATGAATATCAGTAAGTTCACAAACCTTATAATTATACCACAACTGAATGAATGCCCAGATGAATATATAACACGAAGTTTTCAAAAAAGAATAGAGAAATTCAGGAGAAATAACCTTAACTGTTCTCTTAGGTATCAAATAGACCTTAATAGGCCAAATAGCAAATTTATGATCAGTGACTTAATCAAGAATGCCCTCATATCCCCAACAAGTCTGAAAACTGTGGTCAAAACCATACAAATCAATGAAAACGAAAACCTGCAGTCTTTTCGAGAAAGTGGAGAGGGTAAATAATACTAATATCAACAATATAGAAGAAAAAATAAAAATGAAAAAAGCTTATAATAAGATAAATAAAGAAACACTAATCATTACCCCATCCCCAGACCTGAAATGACACTATAGTATTATACACCAAAACATACAATGTCAGAAAAATAAGGCCTTGGAATTAGAAATATTTTTGAAGACACTTGAATGTCAACCCTCATTTGTAAGTATAACAGAACATTGGTTCACAGAGACTGAGCAATATCTGATGAAGTTAGAGAGCTATCAAATGACCTCTTCATACTCAAGAAGGGAAAGAATACACGGCAGATCATGCATCTTCTCTAAAACTCCGTTGAACAGTTGTGAAATTGTCGAAATCAGAATTAAAAGTATCGAAAGTATAATAGAATGCTTTTCAGTAGTTTGTAAGGAAATTAAATGTATTATAAATTGTACCTATAGGCCCCCTTCTGGAAATTTAGATATATTCCTACAAGTTCTCATCGAAATACTTGATCTTGTACAAAATATATTCAGGAAATATGATACAATACTATCTGGTGATTTCAATATCAATCTTATGAATTCAAATAATGCAACCGCTCAGTCTTTTCTACACCTTTTATTAACATATAATCTGCACAAACAAACAAATGAACCGACAAGAATAACATCAAGATCTTCTTCACTACTGGATAATATTTTTATAAACTTCGAAAACGATCATCCTGGAGAAGTTATTACCTCTGCATTATCCGATCATGAGACTCAAATGCTCCGAATTGAAAGATCAGGAAAAATTAAAACTAAAAAAACAAATAAAAAAAATAAGAAAAGAGTATTCTCAGATGCTAAGCTTGATCAATTGAAAAATGAATTGAGAAATATCAACATGTATCAACTTTATTCCTATGATAATCCAAATGAAGCTTATAATTATTTCACTGGAGTCCTCAGACAACTAATGAATATAGTCACCCCACTAAAATCTTGTAAAGCAGAACCAACTTAAAAAATAGGGATTGGATTACCATAGGAATAAAGACATCAAGCAAACGTAAACAACATTTATACAGATTAAAAAAATGGCATATCTAATGATATAGCACTATTTTCAAAAAAGTAGTTAGAGAAGCAAAACAACGCTGTAATAAAAATTACATTAAAACATCCACTGATAAGTCCAAGGCAGTATGGAATCTGGTAAAATCTATTACTGGTTCGGACACTAAGACACCTATGTCAGTATCGGAAAACATTTCTCCAGATGAAACTAATAAAGCACTAGCTCTAAATGAGGTGAATCAGTACTTTATTAATAACTGCACAGCTTTGAATAGTGTAAATAAGAGCAATAAGTATTTAGAGCCTCCATCTTTTGATAAAAGCATATTCTTTTCCCAACAGATTCAAAAGAAGTTTATGATACTATTCTGAAGTTGAAAAATAGTAAAGCAGTAGATGAAGATGAAATACCAACTAAATTACTGAAACATGTAGCATATGAGATATGTGAACCTATTGCACAAATAAGCAACTTATCATTTTTGACAAGTATTTTTCCTGATAATCTTAAAATTGCGCATGTCAAAGCTATCTTTAAAAAGGGAAATAAACATGAAATAATCAACTATAGGCTCATTGCAATATTGTCAAATGTTAGTAAAAACTTTGAAAAAATAATATGCAATAGACTGATCACTTATCTAGAGAATAATAATCTTCTAAGTGATATGCAGAATGGATTGAGAAGAAAGAAATCTACTACTCGAGCTAACTATCAAGCTCTATGTAAGGTAATTGAATGTATCAATAGTAAAAAGGCTACAACAGCTGTCAATCTGGACTTGTCCAAGGCATTTGACAGTGTTGACCATAGGTTACTGATCACAAAACTGTCGTTCTACGGTATCAGAGGGCTGCCACTCGAACTAATTATGTACTATTTGAAAAATAGTCAGCAATGTGTTACTGAAAGGAATACTGATGGAAATCTAATGAAATCAGAAATGCTATGTATTATAAGAGGTGTACCCCAGGGGTCAGTGTTGGGCCCACTATTATACATTCTTCACACTAACAATGTGCCTGAAGTTATTGATGAATACATGGTTCAGTATGCCGATGACTGTTCTGTGGTTTTCAGTTCAACCGATCACGACTACCTACAGGCAAATATCTTTTTCAGGCTAAAGATTCTGGAGGAGTACTTCACATCACACAATCTCAAACTGAACAAAAACAAGACACAAATCATATATTTTACCCAAAACGGCACAAATAATACTTTTAGTGTTGGTGTAACTATTTTAGAACCAGTGTCCCAACTTTCCTTTCTTGGAATTATAATTGACTCAAAGCTGAACTGGAAGAGCCACATAGATAAAGTGGCAACAGAAATGTCAAGGTACTGCTATGCCCTGAAAATAATTACACATAATATATCCACTGAGGCTGCGATGTTAGCATATAATGGTTATATTCAGAGTCACATCAGATATGGCATTATATTCTGGGGAATGTCTGCACATACATAAAAAATATTCGTATTGCAAACACGGTATCTCAGAAAAATATTCAACCTTTCTCAGAGAGAAAGTTGTAAAAAAATATTCGTACATAAAAAAATATTAACACTAACAGGTCTCTATATTTATGAATCTGTGGTATTTGTCAAAGAAAATGTATCTCTTTTTGCGACTCATGATAGAAACCACACCCACAACACACGAAACAAAAATAACATTTTGAATATAAAGACACATTTGACCTATCTACAAAAAAAATATACCGTTTTCAATCATGAATATTTATAACAAGGTACCTAAATCTCTCAGAAATCTGTCTTCTGTGATCATGAAGAATACATTGAAAACTTTGCTTCTCTCCAAAGCTTATTATTCGCTGGAAGAATTCTTCAATGATAATTTGAACTGATGATGTTCGCGTTGAATATTTCATGTCGTATCATTCTGCATTGTGATGTAGTTTAATCTCTTTTGAACCTTACATATAGATGTATATGTTCGTGTTCTGTATCCAATATAACAATATTACATTAAGTATATTGACTGTGATAACCTTGTTATTCATACATCTGTGGCCATTTATATTCTTAACCAATATTAATGATATTGCCTCATGATTTTTTTACTATTTCTGTAATGTTTACTGTAATTGACATGTTCTACACCTGAAAAGGTTTTTTATCTGAATGCTTCCTTTTTGCCTTGTTTCTGAAAGAGAGTAGATATTATGTTTGTAGAATAACTGAGACACGTTAGATATGTCAGGTTTTTTCAGATATCAGAATTGGAAAATAACTAAATAATTATATCTGGCATGAACTTATTTTTCCAGATAGTTTAAAAATGTGACAGCTCTGTTTGAAAAATGCAACAAAAGTGAGCTAAACAACTTCAGACCAATCGCACTTCTTAGCAACATCAGAAAAGTAAATTATATACAAGAAAAAAAATGAAATCTTCTGTGTGATACACAGAACAAATTAGCAGGCTTTAAAGATGAATAGATTCCATCAATAAAAAGAAAATTACAACAGCTGTTAATTTGGACCTTCTAAAAACCTTCTATAGTATTGAACACAAAATACTGTTTGTCAGGTTATCATTTTATAGTATATTAAATTAATGAAATTATGTCATGGCATATAAGATGAGATTGCCATGGCCACCTGTGAGAAAGTCGTGGCCAGTACTCTCTGTATTTATTATTAATTTGTTAACAGGCATCTGATTGAGATTCCATCTGATACATAAATTGTCAAAAGCTCACACAATATTTGTGCCACCGTAGGTGATCCAGATTTGGAATCCGGTTCTCTAGGAACTAGAGATCACCAGTCATCGGTGAATCATCAAGATGAATAAATCTGTGAAGAAGCCAGCCACTCGTGCTGTCAAAATGTTAGGATTCAGTTCCAAACTATGACGGCCTACAAACCCGAATGAAGATAATTACACTGATACTAGACTAAACGATTCCACACAGAATGGAAGTGCAGAACAGAGTTAACATTAATAGTCAATTTAGTCATGAGGCTGACAAATAAAACAAGATACAGCGACATACAACCAGTAAAAAAAAAGTTATATTTTAATTGTATTTCTGTATCTGTGAATAAAGTTACTGAGTAACAAGTTGCCTCTTTATTGAATAGTACTGTATTGTTAAGGATGTTGAGCTCTTAATACAGAAATATCTTTCAAAAGAATTTTAATGGTTATATAGAATTTCTACCAAGTACAGAACACAGTCTTTACAGTCAGCTATTTCAGAACAACATTTACACATTATTCAAGATGCTTCAAAATAATATGGAAAAAGACTCGCAATTCACTTCTAATCAGTGTATACTTATTTTAGGAAATGAAAATATGTCACTTTGTCTTTTCTAGATTTATTATAACCTGTTTTCACTGAAAACGTCATTGGTCTAGCCTATATCCCTGACACAGTTGATGATAGGTGACTGACAGGAAATTCCAATCAACAAGGATTTACAGAATGGTATCGTGCTTATATTTCTCAGATTATCTCGGCTCTCTTTCACTTCCAATTTCCCTCTCGATCACATTCACTGCTGCCTTGGAATGGAATTGCAACAGGGGCATAGTTAATCACTCAATAAAATAATTTTATTAACTTTTTGTCAGTTAACTATAATTCATATCACAACCAAGGTTCCTATATCGAATACAGTATCAAAATATGTTTATTGCACCATTCTTCAAAATGTTTCTTTCTCTTAACAAAAATCTGATTTTCTTTTAAAAAATGGAATGGCAAGTGCATATGTATAAATATAGTAAATCCAGAATAAAATAACATAAAATATTACACATCAAACTTATCCTAATGTTTTATCCTTTCATGAAATTCAATAAATAACCCTTTGTAGTTAATACTCCTCTGCATTTCACATGAATCAAATACCTCAAGGCCCATTTCAGAACCAGTGGTTTTCCAAATATGCCCTCCACCGAAGACTTTGGAAGAATATCTGAAATAAAAAAAGAATGAATATTTACAAAATACCGCAAATTTATAATAATACAACTGAAATATATAAAACTATAAAAGTGTCCAAATTAATATGTTATTATCAGTAATGATAGCGCAAGAATGTGAAATAGTATGTTTTGTATACACCGAAAAATATCCAACTGCTATGATGAATATTACTGGAGTTTTTTCCCAACACCAAACCGTTATTTTAAAACCACGGTGTGGTGTTGGGAAAAAACTACAGTAATATTCATTAGTACACCGAAGGTTCCAAACAATGCATCACAACTGCTATGATTCCATATGAGTTAATGAATTAACAGCATTTTAAATGCAAGATATAGAAGCAGAGTGCCAACAAGCCACGTGTGCTAAGTAGACTGTCTTTCCTACCGTGAAATATGGTGAATAGGGTCGGTTTTCAACTTAAAAAAATACAAGTATATCCAATATGGATATCTAGTAGTGGATTGTAAACACAATCAGTTTCGAAAAACTACTCAAACAGATAAGTATTTTTCATTTGCTGACCCTCAACAGTTGGTTAATAGACATACTCATGTTTACTGCCCTGAAGAAGCTTCCCATTAGAAGCCAAAGCTTGGCAAAGTAGAGGAGAATTTTGAGATATGACTGAGAGTTCCCGTCAATCCATTTTACTGGATATATTATATATGATATTATCTAACCTATTCATCTCTAACATGTCCGCCATCTCCCTTTGAAATCGTACCCGTTTTCTGCGTGTTGCTCGATCCTCACGGCTATGATATGAACAACATACATGCTATACTCATGAATAAACGTTTACATCGGGCACATTTGAATAATGATGAACCAATAATATCTGGTGTTTACTTGTTTCGGAACTACTATTGATTCTATGGTCTTGAATATTCATATTCAACTCTGTAAAATCGTCAAATCAGTAAAAAACCCTAATCACTTTCCATTGTGACAAAATATAAGTTTTAGGTTAATTGCAAAAATTAATACAAGTGTGGATTAAATTTTATAACTACAAGACGATGTATCTGTAAATATATAATTTACAACTTTTCGTTGATTTATTGTGTATACCTCATGTTTTTTACATGAAAGAAATTTCAAAACTTCTGAAGATATACTTGAAACATTTCATAATTGGACGTCTGAATTTCCAAAAGATAAAATTGCTGCTGCTGGGTTTATTTATACAGGTAAAGGTGATAGAGTTGTATGTCCGAAATGTCACAATGAAGGGTTCAAATGGGAGATTAGAGATGATCCGCCGATAGATCGCTTCAGATGGCAGCCGGATTTAAGTTTTTCAATAAAAAAGATTCAGTTTGTTTATCTGAAAATGAATGGAGCCAACGTCCAAAAGACAACAAAAATAGCTGCCCTTTTATCACCAACCCAAGTAATACTTGTAAAATTTGTTCAGAAAAAGAGATAAATATATTGTTAATAACATATACATACACATGTCATGTTGCATTGATTGTTATATCACATGTCATAATTGTTCAGTTTGTAGATCAACTAATAAATCATTTTTCAAATTTTTATTACATAAATTTCTGAAAAATAAAAATTAAATACATAGCAACAATATTTTTATTAATCCACATCTCAATGGGTATTACATATTCAACAAAACTTTGGGAGGTAGGTAATGTATAAAATATCATCACAAGTATCAAATTTCAAACAGTCTGTGCTCAAATCCTCATTAAAACCACTCAAATGAATCGAATTATGAGTAGCTTGAATATCCATTTAATGAACTTCACCAAAAAAAACAAGAAAGACATCATCTTTTGCTTTTGTTATATCCACAATGGTATAATAACCCCCTAATACACAGACATATTCTTCAGCAGAATTTTTTTGTGTGTTTGTAGATCTCTATTGCCTCCCTTACCAGTCCAGTCGGCTATGGTATCCCTGGTTGGGGGCAACAAGTTTCATGTTTTCAAACAGAATCCTGTGGTTTCCTTCACTGAGTGCCTGCTCCACCACAGCCGACTTGTCTATTTCTTTCATGCTTCTTCAGCCTTGTTCTAATGATTCAGAACACATGATATAAGCCCTCTGGTCATTGACGACTACTCAATTACAAGACATGACCTTTACGACATCCTGATGCAGCTTCGGATAGCATTGCGAATGACATGTATCCAACATAATCTAGACCAACTACTCTCAGCTTTTCAATTACATGGAAATATTCGAAACTGAAATGGCTGAAAATTGTTTTTGGGTGATCTATTATTTTGTACCGTTTTTGTAAGACTGAAAAGGAGATAGATGGCATTATAGGCTTGCTCTAACTCCAGCTCAAAATATATTTCTTAGCTGATCAACGGAAAAACAGATTTTGAACAGATATATCGTTTTGTGCGTGGATCTTGTTTATAAACTCTAACATGGTGCTCTGATTCACCCCAATATTTCCAGTGAAGATAGCCTATAATAATAAATTTTCCACAGAAAGAAAACTAAGGATGATGTCATAAAACTGGTAGTATGAAAATTGTAGGTTATAAGACTATAACTTCGATATTCACCAACAAAGATATTTTTTGTTTCACTTAACCATACGTACAGGTGAACTTGTGACCCCATTCACACCAAAGAGCCAAATCACTCCATTTGGAGTACTCTTCAAAACAGAAGCTCATTGGAAAGACGAATTTGTTTCAAATTTACATAACAATTTATAATTTTTGTGACAAAAACAATACATGTAATGAATATATGTTCAGAGAAACTCCTTGGGAATGTTAGAAAATCCAAACTGATGTACAATTTAATATTTTCATACTATAAGAGAATGTAGAAAAAACATGTATGTAAAATTACTTCATGAACATCAGCGAGAACGCCCCTCCCAGAACCAAATTCTTGATCTGTCCCTAGGGATAGTTCAAAGTGAGAGATCTAATATCAATATTCACCCAATGAGCTTTGTAATGACTTCTGGAGGGTTCTAATTCTTTACTTTTGTTTCAGATGTTTTATTTTTCTCAATTTCATTTGAGACTGAATATACTCACCACTTGGATCGCTGTGTGTTAATAGTTTAATATTGTTTTCTTTGCAGAAAGTTTGCAGTGTTGGTGGGACCACACAACAACTCGCAAGATTTATTTGTATGATCGTGGGTTTCACTTGAGCCCATTCATGAAGAGCTCTGAAGGTATTTTCTTCAATATCGGCAATCCCAATCTGTTTTATTTTTTCTTCAGATACAAAACTTTCCAGGATTTTCCATACTGTTTGTATTTGGCTTAAGTCATCTTTTTTATCTTCTGACTGTTTATGTTTGAACGATATGATCAAATCATCAATTGAGTTCACATTCAAAATCATAAGTGCTGAAAATATAAGAGAAAAAACAATAAAAGATTCGTTTCTCATTTCACATATATTGAAATTTTAAGTGAAACAATTGTGAAATGTTTCAAAACATACTTGAATCTTTCAAAATTTTATTAACTCAGTTATGTAGGAGATCTTTCCTTCACATACAAATTCTCAAATGAATATTACTGGAGTTCAATCCCAACAAAACCGTTATTTTTAACACCTCGATACGTGTTTCAATCACCAAGTGATCATCTTCAAGAGGAAGATTGAACTTGAACTGTTGGGATTGGACTCCAGTAATATTCATTACTACACCAAAAGTATATTAAATATTACAGGAATTTATTCCAACACCAAACCGTTATTTTAACACCTCTACACGTGTTTCGATCACCAAGTGATCATCATCAAAAGGAAGATTCAACAGTTTGGTGTCGGGAAAAAGATTCAGTAATATTCATTACTACACCAAAGGTATATTAAATATTACTGGAATTTTTTTCCAACACCAAACCGTTATTTTAACACCTGGACATGTGTTTCGATCACCAAGTGATCATCTTCAAGAGAAATATCCAAACATTCTTGATAGAAATTTATTTATTAGGTAAGTATGTTACTTTTCTAGGCTCCACTTGAACAATTCTATGATGAGAAGGATCAAAAGATGACATTACTGATTTGAAAGAAAACTTCACAGTGATGGAGCTAAAGAAACAATCTACCATTGTAAGGGTGTTAACTAGTTAGTGCCTGATGGTACAGAAAAGTACCTATCAGAATATAATTGGGGTAAGAACAAGATTATATATGTAAACGTCCACTTTATATCTATTGCACTTTTTGAACAACTTTGTTTTTCCAAAATGTAAAAGGATATGTATAGCTGATATGAGAGTTTTCAAGGGGGCTGACCACTTTATATCCAACTTCAACAGTACATCGGATACCACCATAATGAGAACCTGAAGAGATAGGAATCGCATTAAAATTGAACATCCCATGGCGAAAATATAACTGCAATGTACCTGAACACATTGTTGACAAAACCACTGAGTCATACATAAAAAAATAGGGCAGTGGAATCTTTTTATGTTTTAATGAAAAAGGGGTTTGAGAATACCTACCATGAAGTCTAGGATTGTATTTTATGTATCATATCTTGGACCTCTTTTATTTTTAATTTTTATTAATGACTTGGCAACCTGGTTGAATATTCCTAGCCTACTATTTGCAGACGACCTGAAACTATATTATAAAATCGACGACATTAATGACTGCCAAAGTGTACAACATGAATTAGATGTAATCAAACTTTGGTGTAATAATAATCGTCTACAACTGAGCGTCTCCAAATGTAAAATAATATCATTTACAAAAAAAAGCGAACTTCAATGTACGATTATTCAATCAACAAAACTACAATCAACGGCGTACATGAGATAAAAGATCATGGTGTAACATACAACAGTAAATTAACATTCACAACACATATAAGGAATATGAATGCTGATGCAAATAGGATGCTTGTATTCATTTACATAAATGGCAAGAACTTCAAAAGTGTTGCCTCCCTAAAATTGCTATATTTTGCGTATGCCAGATCTAAGTTTGAATATGGCTCTGTGTTATGGAATCCAGTTTACGACTAACAAAAAACATCAATTGATAGCGTGCAAAGGAAGTTCCTAAGATACTTATGTCTAAAAGTTAATGGTCAATACCCCACGAGAGGCATCGATTATAACATATTGTTGACACGATTTGATATGACATCTTTGGAAAATAGGAGACTTATCCTTGCTATAAAATTTCTGCATAAATTACTAAGCAACAATATTGACAGTACGGTTCTTTTACCCTAAATTAATTTCTTAGTACCAAGAAGTGAAGGTCAACACAATCTGAAATTCTATCGCGAAGCATCACACACAAATATGCTACGATCACCATTGAATTTTATGGCAGTAGCTTCAATAAAATCTACGAACACTACGATATTCATTTCGACTCTCTGAACGCCATGGTATCATGTATCCACAATCACTTTTAATAATACTATAAATAACATTTGTGTCAGTACTGCTACATTGCATGATTTGTAACTTTTTGTGTTATATATTCAATTTTTCATTCCTCTTTTGAAATTCTACGTATACGAATATTTTATATATACTTTGTTTTAGCATTTACTTTTAGACATTTCTATATTCCATTATTTTTAATATTCATTTCATATATTATCTGTAATAATAGCATTTCCTGTAACTGGGTACTCCTGTTGGAAATAAATCGCTTTTTTTATCGTTATTAAATAATTAATTGATTTGATGAAAAAATATCTCTGTTGAAATGTTTTATGTTGACCAGAAAAATGTATTTTTTTGCTTATAAAGTTATCTGAAGTATATTTGATTTGTAGTAAATATCTGATGTTGTCCATATTTTGTATAAAGAACATTCATAATTAAAAACGGTATTGAAGAATAATTTCAAAAAAAAACTAACCACTACTGCACATAGAAATGAACTGAAATGTATGCGTTCAACTTGTCATAGCAAAAAGAATGGTCGTGGTGGTTCAAGAGACTGTAGTATTTGAATAAGAATCCTCTGAACCTTATAGGTCATTGACAAGTAAAATCGTTGTTAGACCAATTTGAATAAAAAATACATGAAAAAGAAACATCACATGATCAAGAAAGTAATTGTTTCAGATGAACTCTCTCTTCCCTTTTATAATAATTCAAAATTTCAATCTAATAAAGCCATAAATGATGATGATATAAGAGTTCCAAGAATCTCAAAATTGATAATACAGTAGATGTGAAACATGACATTAAACTGTGAAACTAATCAGAGCCTTTGAAAAATTGTAACCAGAAATAAGGAGACCAAATAACTAGACTTCAGTAGGCTAATGGGGATTTATACAAAATATCTCACAGAGGTTAGTCTTGTAGATGTTTGTCATTTTTTTGTGAGGTATCTTGCATAAATGTCTGTCGAATATAATTCAATGTCCAGCGAGGTATTAGCCGGGGAAGTAGATGTTTTTCGGCAGGCATACATATGTATCCCTCCTCAATACAGTCTTCAGAATTATTTGATTTCTGTTTGAATAGGAGAGATCCATCTGCTGGTTTCATCTGCTAGTTTCATCACTACAGGGTAAATGTTATTAAGATATTTGCTTGCTTATATGGTTGCTTACAAGTTATAAAATTACTACTCTGAATATAAAAAAAGAACTTTTATAAGGGTTGACAACAGTTCATAATTTGACTAATGAAGTTATTAAAAATTGTTGACTAAAACTGTGAAAAGATTCATTAGACTTGATGTTACTTACACTTCACATTTATAAACAGAATGCTGCATTGTTCAATTGGAATATATTAGAAATAATATTACCACATTGTCGGTTAATGCATGCTCATTCTTTTACTTCAAAAAATTTTTGAAGACAAACTACCTACTCACCGACAAAAATTTCATTGAAGTAAAAGAAAAAGTTGAAATGTGGTGTATGTTCATAGCTCCAATGATATACGTTAGAACAACTTTCTCAAAGTTTATAACTTCATATTGTTAAAGATTCATGAGGCATATGAATGGAATCACTCGTTACTTGATGAAAATTATCAACACTATTCACTAAACAATTTTCATAAGCTCATGTTCCAGATATTCATTTGATTCAAATATGCAATACCAGAATGTATTTTATACTGTTTTTTTGGGGTTTATAACCGTCCACAATCTGAAAAAATTAAGAATAAGTCAATAGAGAATCTGCTGAAGTGTAATGGGCAAACTAAAAAGTTCACCCGAAAAGTTACTGCGTAATATAAACTACTGGAAAGTCCAATTAGTAAGTTACTAGAATGTACATTATAGTTGCAAATCCACCACATTATCTCATAAACTATTTTAATATGTATTATTTTTTTGATTGTGCAATTACATATTCTTTTACTGATTATCAGACAGCTTGTGAGTGCAAGATCTGGATGGTATACATGAAATGTTGAAAACCTTTTCTGAGGTGTACCTATCTATTTTCATCTATTCTATTTCATGTGGTGCAATACACTGTACCTACAGTATTCCATTTTCCAAATGTTTATCAACATACTGAATTTTGAAAACTTACCTCTTCTGATGGATTTTGGTTGGGTTTTTTTGTAATATCATTAATTGATAAAATATTCCCAGTATTGATAATGAATTCATCGAGATTTTCCAAATTGTACTTCTCCATCACCATGATTCAAAAATAGTTAATTAGAAATATTGTAACTAAAACACGTGATTCGACCCCGCCTAATTTTTACCTAAAATATTAAACGTAATTACAAGTATAATGTTAGCATACTTCTGATTTAGTATGATATGAATAATCTCAACTTGCTGCCAATTGCTACAAAATTATTCAACAAAAATGATTCAAATTCCTGTTTGGTTGTTTGGCTAGTGTCAGTAGTCAATAGTCGTGTGTCACTGTCATATGACATAGAACAGAACAGTTATATGTACACCCGAGACGTATGTAGTATGTATATGTATGTTGGAACGATAATAAGTAATTTCTAACTCTGATTTTCAGACAGTAGGTTCTTACCAGAAAACTGAAGAACTGTGCATCATATCTCCTCCCTTTCTAATAAATTTTATTTATATTTGCACCAATCAGAAAACTGAAAAATCATCAGATATAACTGTGGGAATACAGACTACTTTTACATATTTGACCATATCCAAGAATATTTTGACTTTACAGATGTGTCAAAGATGCGTAAATATTCTTGGTATAATTACTTGGGCTCTTTCCCTATCAAAAACTCTCGACCTACTGCCTTGATGAATGATTAATAAATTTCATTTGCTGCTGAATACCATTCAGCTTGACTATGTTAAACTGTATTACTTCAATTTTCAATGTCAATATTTTGGTACTTCAATTGAAGATCTGAACAAAATACTCGCGACAAGATTTCGATTCTTGCACTCACTATCTATCAACAACATATGTACAAGTCAGTCAGTTGAATCTCCGGGGTTTCTATGCATCTATGGTATGTCTTATTCTCGATCTGTCATTTCCGCCAAAAGTAATTCGTTCTTTTTGCTCGATCAAAATACATCAATATCAAAAAGATAGAGAATAACTTTTGGAAGGAACGATGCAATCTAGGTGCAGCAACTTTTTCTTACACTTCTTGGGCTCTGTGCTTTTGACACAAAATAGTAAACAAATTCTGAGAGTCAGAAGCACAGAACCCAATATTTTTTTATTGTAGTTATAAAAGTCAGAATCTGTTTAAATTGAAAGGCTTTTTTAGGAGAGATTAATTTTTGTTTGTGTCTGAAAGTTACTTCTTTGCATGATCTACACATTTTTTGTATCAAGATGGAGAAATAGGAGGCAAAAAACTTTCTTTCTCAGGATCTGTCTTCTGACACCTGACAAGTGAGTGAAGAGACAAGACGTGACAGCGGCACCCATGCCCATCGACCATCGACAATCGACATATGTCGGTGCCCATGTCCCATGCCGAAGGCACGATATAGTTTGTGCTTTGTGCTTCCTGTTCTTAATTGATTTGCCATAGAGAAGTTGTATAATAAGTGATTTTTGGGGCCACGGCTTTCACAGGAACCTACTAACAATTGAAATAAAAGACTTTTTTCATATTTTCTTAATAATGGAGCATATGGAAACCAGTACCTATTTCGAAAGTTATGAAAATTTGGAGGTTAGTAGAAACAAAGTTTGGGAAAATGGTACTTTATGGGATAGTCACGAGATATGTTCTGAATTCCTACATCATGTAGTAGGTATTATCCCAGAAAAAATCGCGAAAATCCGTGAATATCCCATAAAGTACAATTTAGCCCAAAGTTGTATCAGTGGCTATATCCAAGGTACATCTTCCTCAGCTCTGTTGTTATCAGAATGTGGAAGATCAGTATTCATGAAGCTGACGTTTTCTGAAAAGCCAAGAGTTTGGACCCATTCCTCAGCAAATATTTCGGAATCAGGATGTTTTTTATTAACTATTTTCTTTTGCTGATTCTCTTTTTTTTCTCTCGTTTCCTCGAGTTTTACTTGGGCTTCTTTTCAAGTTTTTTTTGTTACCTTTTTATTCTATTTTTTTTTCTGAAGGAAGTAACGGGTGGAAGTTTTCTCTTAGATTATTATGGCTCTGGTCAAAAAATTACCACCACTACCACTATAGTATTATTTTCCAACAAATATTTGATGTGAATTACCATAAATTTTTTTATGAACTGATTTAAATTGAACACTAATTGTTAAGTGAATTTTATCATAACACATTAGTGAAAGCCACTCAGTTGGGCCGTTTTGTGAGATTAGCACGCACAAATGCTTAAACAGACAACAATTCTAAAAGTCATTGTTTTGAGTTCAATTGCATTAATAAAGAACCTCGAACATAGTTTTTCAGAAATACATTACTGACTGCAATCACTTAACTATAACTGTTTGTTGGAACTACTCAATTTTGCCATTCAACTTCTTATGATACTGAGTTGAATTAGCTTTTACAAATATACCTTAGGTAAACACATGAAATAACAAATCACTTACATCTGACTAGTCAGTTCAGGTTGACACGAAAATCTCAAAAACTGTTCAAAATTTCAGTAATTCACCTGAAAAAGAGGCAGCCTCTTTTGGTTGCTTTTAAAATCCTCTAGCATATTCTCTGCTGAGTTATATGCCATCCTGTTAGATTTTAGGTACTCCGAATCAGTCAAACAAAAAACTATCGTAATATGCACAGACACGCTGAGCTCTCTCTAGACTATGTAGAACATATTTTCAGATGATACACTTGTTCAACACATGATCGTATTGACTAACTGGATATCTGAATACGGAAAAATTTTTACTTCATTTGGTCACCAAGACATGTCCGAATCTCTGGAAATGAAGCAGCTAATAACGAAGCCTGTCAAACAGCAGGTAGACAAAACAAACTCTCTGTGCAAGTTGACCCGACATGAACAAGTGATACTAACCAGCTTGAAAATAAGACATACCTGTCTCATTTAATTATACCTATTACGGAGCAATAGACCAGAAGTATGCAACATTTGCAATAGCATAGAAACGGCCATCACATCTCAATCGAATGTCAAGTTTATGAACAACTTAGGCAGACACTGAATATGCCTAACACACTACAAGAATGCTTATTGAATGATGTGGCCCCAATCAAAAATACGTTGAATTTTATAAAACAAACTAACTTCTACCATACATAACTGAGAATTGACGTTCCCAGCTGAGTAATGACCCAGTAGTTGATGCTGTCTATTAAAAAAAGTTACCTAGAAATGGGACAAATGATGTAAGCCTACCTTAGTTTAAATACTACTGTTAAATTGAACATTTAGACTAAGTATTTATTGACAAGCTGTATAAACCATTCATGTATTTTTTCATACATCACTCATTAGTGAACTTCATCTCATGGCTCTCTTTTTTATCACTGACCCAGGAACACAAAAACCTGACTTATTGAAACCAGATTACTTTTGGTAAATGTTATGTAGGAGGAAAATTGTATATTAAAGGTTTTCCAAATTATTTCATTTCTTTGGTAATATTCTTAATGCGAGCTCTGTTTGATTATATATATATTTTGGCATTAACTACACTTTGACGATTGCTTTTCCTGTGTTGACACCTTTCAACATATCAGTGAAAGCAGTAAACATATTTTCAAATCCTTCTGTTACGGTTTCCTTGTATTTGAGTTTTCCTTCTTTCAGCCATTTTATATTCTGCTGCACTCCTTCATTCCATCTATCCAACCATCTAGTTACAAGAAATCCTTCGATTACCAATTCGCTGCTCACTACTTTTCCATATATTGATGGAGCTGAAAAATATAAAGTTGAATACATACTAAATAATACCTCTAACAAATAAGACTTGAATTTAATTCACAATAAAATAGTTACCTTTAACTTTTTCATTATAGCCTGAAATAGCGCCACAAACTGATACCCTTCCAAATTTATTCATATTTTGAATAACAGTACTGCTTATTTCTCCACCAACCTATAAAATTTATCTTGTTAACTGCTGCTTATAAAACATATATATTTATCTTCATCTTTAATAATTATATTGTTCTTTTTCATTTTTCACTGGGTGACTTGTTTTTTAGGATAACTAGATTGAGTTAGTTGAAAATAGTCCTTCCGAAACAACTACTTCCTTTCATACGGTCAAATAAATTACTTTTTCTTTCCCAATTGTACACCATATTTTTAAATGCGTAGGTTGTTTTCGCCTTTGATAATTTACCGCAGTAGTAAACGAAACGTCATGCATAAAAACCTGCAGACCACAGCCAGAAAACCCGGAAAATAGTTTTGAAAAAGACCGTCTTTTTTTATTGGGGCCATGGTGACTGTCAATGTCAGTTTCGTCTTGAAATCTTTATTAACAATGAAAAAGTTATAGACCGGGAAATGGTGGAAGAGTTTGGTAAGTCATTTCTTATAGTAGGCGCTTCTAAGGGGGTTCATATACGTAATAAATGAAAGGAAAAGTATGTTCTTACCAGTGGTGCGCGGGACGCAATTGTAGAATAATTAATTGATATTGTCCGAAAATCAGTAGGTATCAAACAATTTTTTTCACAAAATTTCTTCAGTTTATCGGTATTTTAACAAAAAATCAGGCGCTCGTTATACGCCATACTTCTCCTGTGGGTGTTAAGACTCGCCATACTTTTTAATGTTTTTTCTATTTTGTTCTTACAGGCTGATTTTTTAAACAAATGTTTTTCATTAATTTTGTACAAAAATCACCACGCCATACTATTCCGACGGTCCAAAATACCCGCCATACCCCTTCAAACGTGTCATTTTTGAAAATTCGAAAAACTTTCACCACAAAATTTGGTCTAGTAGTTGTTTTTATGATTAGAAACATAATTGTTATAATTCCATGCCATAGGTGATATACGAACAATTATAAAATTTTATGCAACATTTGAACAATTTCTTACAGTATGGCATCATTTTTTCTGAAAGTTGGAGTAACGTAAATACTGAATTTCAAATTTGTGCGTACGGACATTCTTATTCAATTGAATCACGTGTTATGTATGTCATACAATATTTTTCATTCATTCCTTATTCCTTATTGTGACTACCTGCTCTTTTTTTACGTAAATAAGCTTAAAACAGAAACGAACGAAATATACTAGTATTTTTGTAAAAAAGCGTCTGCGCTTTGTGCCATATTTTTTGTATATCAAGCGCCCGTCGCTTTTTTCACAATAATACTAGTATTTTTCGTTCGTTATTGTTTTAAACTTATTAAAAAAAATTATTTTCAACTTTTTAGTAAGATATTCTTTAAAAGTGTTTCTTTTAGTTTTTTAAACTATATTTATTTTGAACCCCTGAAATTGAATATAAAACCTCTACAAGGATTCGCCTGGACTTTTCGGGGGTTTTTCTTCAAAATAAGATGAAGGTTCAATAAGCAATTCAGATGGATTGAATTTCATCAGCAAATTTACTTACATTATCAAAGTAACAGTCTACACCTTCAGGCGCAAATTTCTTGAGGGCCTCATCTATGTTGTCGGTTTTGTAGTTTATAAAATGGTCGAATCCAAGTTCATCTACTAACCATTTGCCTTTTTCATTGGATCCTGCTATCCCTATTACTCTACATCCTTTGATTTTGGCAATCTGTCCAACTTGGCTGCCAACACCTCCTGCTGCTCCAGAAACGACAACTGTTTCTCCCGCTTGGGGCTTACACAATTCAAGCAGACCAAAATAGGCTGTGTTGCTGGAATATATAACAGAATTATTTCATTTGAAACTGTATTATTGGATCAAAACTGAATTATAAAAGTAAAACACAACTTTGAAGTCATAAAAAGTGGATTGATAATCAGAGATAACTTTTATTTTAAAAAACTGATTTAAACATATTTTCATGCTTTTGTCAGAGTAGAGTCAATCAATTTAGCCTCAAGTTGTCGTTTATGAGTTTATATGTTTTCATGACCGAATTTCTAAAGAGAATAAAATCGTGGCTATAGTAGGGGAGCCCACGATGCAAAATGGGGACTTACTCGAGCGTCATAGAGACAGACATTTTAGGTTGCAAAGCTTAGATGATAAGAATAAAAAATGTTATATAATATATAAATAAAATATTGAAGTGAGGTTGGAATATCTTTCAATTCATATATTTACTCAAATGAATCTAAATCATTTCATGATTATTTTCTATATTTGACAATATTATACCTGTGAAATATGACCTGTCCCATCTACATAATGTAACACACTAATAAATCTATCTATCTATCTAGCGGACATATTGAAACTAACACAGATGATAAAACTTAGTCCAGTCTGTTTTCATATATTGTCGTGGTTTTTTGTGCTTCCCGCGAGTGAAAGTAAATTATTTTACTCAGTTTCTGATATTCAATCCAGGCAGGAAAGCTCCCTCACTTGTGCACCTCCACGGAGGGAACCCCAAGAAGGTTGAAGAAGCAGCGCAACGACAGTTATATCGCTGCACCTTCCAAAACCTTCGCGGAGCCCACCGTGATACACCTCAAGGTTGCCAAAGAGAGTGCGTGTTCGGCGAGTCTTGGCCTACACCTGCCAGTATAAAGGAGATGCCTGCTAGTGACCTGTACACCTTCCAGGACAGGACAGGATGGACGATGACCTAGGAGGACAACTCATCGGGAGGATGTACAATGGGTCACATGTGGCCTAAGTGGCCACAAGAATAAACATAACCTATGTTTAACATTCAGTTATTCTGAAAAGGGAAGAAAAAAAGAAATATTTTGGCTCTCTCCTTCTCCATCATTGACCAAAAAATGTGGGAAACTTTCAAAGAAAAGAAGTAGTACTGAAAACTCTTAATGAATAGACAAACTGGATCAAAAAATGTTTTCGAAACAACTACTTTCATAAGAATATAGAATGTACACGAAAACCATTTTCCCATTCAGTTTGTACTCCAAATAATCGTAATGGAATTTAAACAAATATCCATAGAAACACTACACAACGTATATGAAAGAGAATTGATATGAAATTTTCACTTACATGGCACACTATCATTTTAATTTTGTCTGTAATAATTCAGTCTTGGGTTCTTTCAAAAAATTTATCCGTTTTAATGCCAGGTGCTTTGTAGCTCCATATCTCGGAAAATATTTATTCTTGTGTCGTGGTAGTTACTGATCGATAGAAAATTTCGTACTCTATAAATTGATGCTGTTAATTTTTTTCCAAATTTTGATTTTGTCCCTCTTTTCAGCTTATTATTTTATAATGTCGTTGAGCGATTTTCGGCCTGTTTCTCTCTACGAATTCAAATCGAACTGAAGCGCTGCCGAAACAGCCCGAAAAATTAACCAGTCATTTGGCAATGGTAGTATTAATGAACGCACTAACGACGTTGGTTTGCGAAGTTTTGTTCCGGAAATTCTAGCCTTGAAGATGAGCCCCAAAGTAGTCTACCTATAGTATAGGAAGAGGATTTGAGGACCCTGGTGGAAACTGGCTCATCAAAAACGACAGTGCATGGAAGCTGTCGCTCCCATGCGTTTTTTGATTGTTTGAATCGTATTGAAAAAGTCAGTAAGCTCGAAAAAGTAGGTGACCAACTGCAATAAATGACCGTCGGATCTGACCCCTATGAATATACTACTAATAATATACATTACCTTCATTTCAAAACTTCCTTTAGCAGGGAGAATTTGTCGTAGGCAAAAAACACGTCAATTTAGATATCGACGGGGAAGTTTAAAACCAGTGCCAGTGGTATTTTAGGTTTAACCCCCTTACCTATAGC